TATAAATATAAAATCAATAATAAAATCTATTTATATTTATATTTTAGGTTTAAATTTTTTTCAAAATATTATATAATAAAATATATAATATTATTCAAACATTTTATATTCATACATCATTTTTTCACTATTTAAAATCAAAGACAACTAATCTTTTTGATTTACGACACTTGCTTATTACTTTGAATATTTATGATTCATTCATTGAGGTTAAACTTTTATAATATATTTGTGAAAATTATTAATAAATATCAAAATAGAATAAACTTTTAAATTAAAAATTATTCTTTAAATTAATAAATAAAATAATATTAGTTGAATAAAAAAGATAAAAAAATAAAATTAATAAAAGCTATCAAATAAATTCAAAGAGCTTTTTTATTTTATTTTCATTTTTTTTGTTTAAAATATCACAATCCAAAACAAATAAACTGTTTTTACTGAAGGATAAGTGTCAAATATGAGAGATTAATGCAATTTGCTAAAGCAGAACCTAAGTCTGATGCACCTTTATCACCAATTTAATTGTAACTTTTTAAATATTGAAGAAAAAATATATCATTAAATAGTTAATTAGAAGGAAAAAATGAAGAAAAAATATGAAATAATAAGATTAATTAATTGATAATAAAAGTAAAATTTGAAAATAAAATGATGAGCTAAATTAACAAAGAAAGAAAGAAAGAAAGAACAAAAAAAAAGCAAGCACAATAAAAAGAAAAAGAAAAATGAGCTTTGTTGTTTTAAATTAGTTTTTATAATTAAAAATATCACAATCCAAAACAAATAAACTGTTTTTACTAAAGGTTAAGTGTCAAATTTGAGAGTTTAATGCAATTTGCTAAAGCTGAACCTAAATCTGATACACCCATTGCACCAATTTAATTTTTACTTTTTAAATATTGAAGAAAAAATATATGATTAAATAGTTAATTAGAAGGAAAAAATGAAGAAAAAATATGAAATAATAAGATTAATTAATTAATAATAAAACAAAAATTAGAAAATAAAATGATGAGCTAAATTAACAAAGAAAGAAAGAACTAAAAAGCAAGCACAATAAAAAGAAAAAGAAAAATGAGCTTTGTTGTTTTAAATTAGTTTTTATAATTAAAAATATCACAATCCAAAACAAATAAACTGTTTTTACTAAAGTCTAAGTGTCAAATTCGAGAGATTAATGCAATTTGTTAAAGCTAAACCTAAACCTAAGCCTGATGCACCTTCATCACCAATTTAATTTCTACTTTTTAAATATTGAAGAAAAAATATATGATTAGATAGTTAATTAGAAGGAACAAATGAAGAAAAAAATATGAAATAATAAGATTAATTAATTGATAATAATAAAAGCAAAATTTGAAAATAAAATGATGATCTAAATTAACAAAGAAAGAACAAAAAAAGTAAGCACAATAACTTCGCGAATACGAAAAAGAAAAAAGAGCTTTGTTGTTTTTAATTAGTTTTTATAATTAAAATTATCACAATCCAAAACAAATAAACTGTTTTTACCTAAGGTCAAGTGTCAAATTTGAGAGATTAATGCAATTTGTTAAAGCAGAACCTAAGCCTGATGCACCCATTGCACCAATTTAATTATTACTTTTTAAATATTGAAGAAAAAATATATGATTAAATAGTTAATTAGAAGGAAAAAATGAAGAAAAAATATGAAATAATAAGATTAATTAATTAATAATAAAACAAAAATTAGAAAATAAAATGATGAGCTAAATTAACAAAGAAAGAAAGAACTAAAAACAAGCACAATAAAAAGAAAAAGAAAAATGAGCTTTGTTGTTTTAAATTAGTTTTTATAATTAAAAATATCACAATCCAAAACAAATAAACTGTTTTTACCGAAGATTAAGTGTCAAATTTGAGAGATTAATGCAATTTGCTAAAGCAGAACCTAAGCCTTATGCACCCATTGCACCAATTTAATTCTCACTTTTTAAATATTGAAGAAAAAATATATGATTAAATAGTTAATATGAATGAAAAAATGAAGAAAAAATATGAAATAATAAGATTGAGAAAAAAAATGAAATAATAAGATTAATTAATTAATAATAAAACAAAAATTTGAAAATAAAATGATGAGCTAAATTAACAAAGAAAGAAAGAACTAAAAAGCAAGCACAATAAAAAGAAAAAGAAAAATGAGCTTTGTTGTTTTAAATTAGTTTTTATAATTAAAAATATCACAATCCAAAACAAATAAACTGTTTTTACTAAAGGTTAAGTGTCAAATTTGAGAGATTAATGCAATTTGCTAAAGCATAACATAAGCCTGATGCACCTTCATCACCAATTTAATTATCACTTTTTAAATATTGAAGAAAAAATATATGATTAAATAGTTAATTAGAAGGAAAAAATGAAGAAAAAATATGAAATAATAAGATTAATTAATTAATAATAAAACAAAAATTAGAAAATAAAATGATGAGCTAAATTAACAAAGAAAGAAAGAACTAAAAACAAGCACAATAAAAAGAAAAAGAAAAATGAGCTTTGTTGTTTTAAATTAGTTTTTATAATTAAAAATATCACAATCCAAAACAAATAAACTGTTTTTACCAAAGATTAAGTGTCAAATTTGAGAGATTAATGCAATTTGCTAAAGCAGAACCTAAGCCTGATGCACCCATTGCACCAATTTAATTCTCACTTTTTAAATATTGAAGAAAAAATATACGATTAAATAGTTAATATGAATGAAAAAATGAAGAAAAAATATGAAATAATAAGATTAATTAATAATTGATAAAATGAACAAAGAATTAAAAAATAAGAAATCATAATAAAAAGAAAAAGGAAAACAAATCAAATAAATTAAAAGAACTCTAATGTTTTAAATTAACTTTTATAATTAAAAATATAATAAAGTAAAACAAATAAATAGCTTTTATTAAGTGTAAGTTTTGATAGCAAAAATGAAGAAAAAATATCAAATAATAAAAAATGAATGATAAATAAATAAATAATTAAAAATTGAAATAAAAATTAAGTTAAAATAGCTAAAAAATTTAAGTTTTAATAAAAATCAATAAATAATGATGATAATTTCTTTTATATAAATTTTTTATTTAAATCAATTTAAAATTAAATATACAAAAATATTAATAATAATAAAAATAATATTTTTTAATTAAATATTCCTCAGATTAATATGGAGAACCTAATGAGATAAAAGTGAAGAGCTTTTAAACTTTTTTTATTAATTTATATAAATTTAAAATTTATTAATAAAAAAAATAATAATTACTTCTTCTAATTCTTAATAATATTTAATCTATTATATCATTTTTTTTTTTTT